GCCCCTAATTTGAAACATCTTGATGAGAGGGGCCTTTAGGGCCTGGCCGGTCCTGTGGTCCTGCATGCGTGATCGGCTCGGCGAAATGCTGTGAGGGAAGGACTGGCGAGGGCCAGCAGGAGATCTGGGAGGAGGCATGGCCAACTTTCCCCTCACTCCCTCCCTTTCCTCGCCCCTCCCTCATCAGCTGGTAGGTCACCACCCAGCATGTGCTAAACTCTCTCGGCCAGGCCAGGCTTCGGGGCGCCCAGAGCGAGGGGCAATACAGCTCCTGGGGGATGATGAAAGCACAGAAACTAGCTGTGCCTCACAGCGCTGGAGGACCAGGCACATGACGAGACGTAGGGGGCCCCCAGACTGCCGCCCCTCTGCTCTCTGACTTTGCCCTGCCCTGAAGCCTGGCCTTGCTGGGGGCAGCGTCTGCAGGGACGAGGCTTTACTGTCTTTGCAGTAGATCAGATGTCGGTGTCCCTCCATGTGCAGTTCATGCTCCTGAGGGGCCCGTGTCCAGTGGGGAAGGAGAGAGGTGCCCAAACACCGATTCCTTTCTTGGGTTCTTCAGGCAAACGATAGTGTGTTGCCGGAGATTCACTTTTACGGGGGCCCAGAGTCCACTTCCTATGAAGAGAGTTACTAGGAGTTACTAAAATCTGATAGTTCTAAAACGAAACGAGCAGTCCGGAGTTCCTGTGGAGTCTGGGCGTCTCTGCTGAGCAGTCTAGCTGCCGCCCGGCGTTTGGCCAGATCCTTTGGCACGTCCTGCGATTTTTGGAAGGATGCCTTGTTTTCAAGCATCCTTAGTGCTGCCTTGAGTTTGCCCTGGCCATTTATTGCTGCCTTTTTGGTATTCCTTTTTTTTTTTTTTAAATCATAGAAACTACTGTTGTTTTGTGCTTTGTTGATGGTTTTGTTCTTGTATAATTGGTACATTTTTGCTATTTTGGTTATTTTGTTTCTTTCACAGAGTTCTTCCTCTAGGAAAGTGGAGAAGGGAGTGGGGTGGGTCACAAGTCCTTGGTCCCACCCAGGAAGGCTGGGTCAGAACAGCTCATGTTCTGCTGAGCTACGTCTCAGGAGGTCCTGTCTGGTGCTTGCCCCAGGCATCCCAGTTAGTTCTCTGTGTGGTGCCTGTCCTCACCCTCCCCTCCTCGAGCAGCGGGGTCACCCTTCCGTACCTGAACTACCCTGAAGATATGTTTACTTATTCTATCTTATTTTATTTTAAGATTTTATTTATTGATTTGAGAGTGAGAGGGAGAGCAAACGTGAGCAAGAGTGAGAGAGAACACAGGCAGGGGCAGGGGCAGGGGCAGAGGGAGAGGGAGAAGCAGGCTCTCCGCCCAGCAGGGAGCCTGATGTGGGGGCTCGATCCCAGGACCCTGAGATTGTGACCTGAGCCGAAGGCAGGCGCTTAACTGACTGAGCCACCCTGGCACCCTCTTTACTTATTCTGTTTTAAAAGTAACATTCATAAAAGAATATCTGAAGACTACATTAAAATAGAAAAAAGTTATCCTTCTACTACTACATAAACACGAATTCCTTCATTATCTTCTAATATTTTCCCAGCATGCAGCTTTTTAAAAATTTAGGCGAAGTAGGAGTTATGTCATAGATTTAAAACATCCTCAGTCTTTCTGTGCATATCAGAATATGAACTTGAACATTTAAGCTCAAAGGATGGAAGAAATGGTGCAAGTAAAGCTGTGTTATGACATTCTCCATTAATGGGATTCATCACCATTTTCTGTGTGATCCTCATCTTTGAAAAATTTTTGAATGGTTCCATTGAGCAGATGAACCTCAGGTCACTTTATCATTTCCCTGTTCTCAGCTACCTGGCACTTTGTGTGTGTGTGTGTGTGTGTGTGTGTGTGTGTGTTACAATCATAAATTATACTGTGATTAATATCCACATACATAAAGATAATTTTCTCTAATTGGGATTGTTTCCTTTTTTTTTTTTTAAAGATTTTATTTATTTATTTGACAGAGAGAGACACAGCGAGAGAGGGAACACAAGCAGGGGGAGTGGGAGAGGGAGAAGCAGGCTTCCTGCCGAGCAGGGAGCTTGATGCGGGGCTCGATCCCAGGACCCTGAGATCACGACCTGAGCCGAAGGTAGACGCTTAACGACTGAACCACCCAGGCGCCCCTAATTGGGATTATTTCCTTATGATAACTCCCCATGGCTGGAGTCACTGGGCCAGAGGTGACCCTTACAAAGCCATCCTATGTCGCCGCCCCCTGCCCCCGTGTCACCAGCCTGCACATGGGAGGGTCTGCACAATTTTCTCTGCTCACTGCTGTCTGACCTCTCGGGGACCTCAGGCAGCCAGCCCCATACGAGGGTCAGCATGGTTCCCATCCCCCTCGACAGGACAGAAAGCAAGGAGCTGAGGTCAGGGCACTCCTCTGAGTCATAGGGCATGCTGGGCCTCCCGGGCCAGGTTCTGGTGACCTGTCCCATGCTCATTCTGATGGCCAGACCCGCAGGGCTAGCCTCTCACACCCATGTAGCCCCTCAAAGCTTGCAAAACCTGGTTTCCTCTTTCCTCGTCTTGGCTTCTCACTGCAGCCCTGTGGAGACGGCCTGGCTGGGCTTGGTGGGGTGTGGTCAACCCCGTGTGTTTTGCTCTGATTGTCCCCCTTGGAGCAGCACCACCTAGACCATCTCGGCAGAGTGAGGACTGAGGGGCCCTGCCCACAAAACGTGCTGGCTCTGATTTTGGTCAGAGCCTGTTTTCCTTCTGGTTGCATGTTGGCAGGGTCAGGTGTGGCTGGCTGGCCGGTCCTGCCACCCACATGCAGCCA